AGTCTCGATCCACGGACACAGACCACGGATCGTGGTCTGATCTACGGACCGTGGGTCTGTCCGTGAGTCGGGACTTAGCCAATTTTCTGAGCTGGGTCTGGGAGGGGTTGCAGTGGTGAACCACGAACCACCAGCACGGGCCGTGGTCTGACCTACGGTCCGTGGATGGTGACTGTAAGTTGCACCTTCAACTTTTCGAAATCTGTATTTTTGGTCTGTTTCGAATACGGGGTGTTACACAAATATAGAAGACAATTGATATAGCCTTAATGATCTTCATTATGAGAATATATTGATGATTTCAACCGTTAAGGTTGGCAGTGGCGGAGCTACAGTGTCCCGAGGGTTTCCAATTGGACACCCTTCGTCGGAATTTTTTTTGTATATATAAGTAAAATACTACTTGAAACGGTTAAATTTAATACTTTGGACACCCTTGACACAATGAGACTCTGTGGCCTATTGGTGTGAGGCTCTCCTATTAAGTCCATAAGCGTGGGTTCGGCAAATTGCATTTGTTTTATTTATAATCACTTTTAATAGAACTCTCTTATTTTATTATTACTCTAAGTTATTAACTTGCTCCTTTAATTGTCTAAGGTAATTAAATTACTTTCTAAATAATAGTTATTAAATTTACTATTTTTCATCAAAACTATTCTTAATTAGAAATCTACACTTAGTAGCCAATTGATTTTTCAATGAATTTGACTTTTTATTTCGTTTCATTAAAATTTGAAATAAACTTAAATGTAATTATTTAATTTAAAGTTAATTAAAAAATTCTAAACTATTTATATAAAGCTGCTAAAAGCGAACAGAAGAACACACCTCGTTTGATTGTGCTTCCATTATTCATGTCTCATTATTGTTATCGTCACCAAAGATTAGTGAAAGCTTGAAACGTAAAAATAATTTCATTTTAAGCTAAGTCCCCCCCCCCCCCCTCTTTTTTTTCTTTGTTCATTTATTTCTAAAAAAACGTAATATTAATATCTTTTCCTTGTTTATCAAATTGAGTTCTTATATAAGCCAAGAAGGACTTCAATATGGTACAAACATCAGACTTCATTCTTAATAAGAAAACCCAACTCATTCTAGTGTGATCATCTACAACAGTTAAGAAGTATCTAAATCCATCAAAAGTAGGCTTTTTATAAGGACCTCAAAGATCCATGTGTAATAAATCAAAGTTGTTTAAGCTACTAGTTACACTAACATGAAAAGGTAATCTAGCTTGTTTAGCACAAGGACATACAACACATTTGCTTACAGTCTTTGTAATATTAGCTAAACTATAACTTAACAACTTCTTAAGAACATAACTAGAAACATGACCAAGTGTTTGATGTAGCAACTGAGTATCTATTTTTTCAGTAATTTTATCCTTATGATAAATGTGTCTAGCTGCTAACATTTTGTCTATACTGCTGGACAGAATGTACAATCCTCCCTCCTCTTTACCAATCATCTTCACCTTCCCACCGAAGAGTTCCTGAAAAAGGCAAAAATCAGGGAAAAATAAAGCTGAACAATTCAACTCTTTTGTTAACTTTGCAACAGACAAGATTGAACTAAAACTGAGGGATGTAAAACACTTCTGAAACTGTATTGTTTCCATCTAATGTACTTGACCCTAAATGAGTCACCACAACTTTATCACCATTTGGAAGGTGTACCTTCTTTGGAGTTGCAACCTTACATATGGAATGCCCTTTTAAGAGACTCAAATCAACCATCACATGATTGGTGGCTCCTGGGTCTATATGATCCAACCTGAACTTTTATTAGAAGCATCTATTACAGTAGAGTTCATACCTCCTGCATTAACACAATGTGGAACTTCTGATTTTTTATCAAGAAGCTGCAAGATTTGAGTATATTGTTCTCTAGTCAATGCACACGAGTCCAGTTGTTGTTTCTGAGTTTTGAATTCTCCATCACCTCTCATGTGTCCATCTCTTGCATCACTAGAGCTAGTGCTGGCACTTGAATTCATACCATCATCCACTTCACCAGTTACATTGTATGCAGAATTGTTACCTCCTTTCTTTTTGAACTTAAAATCCTATGGGTACCCAATAATTTTGAAGCATGTTTTTCTAGTATGCCCTTTGAGTTTGCAAAAATCACAAACTAGATTATAACCTTTCTTAAACCTCTGTTGAATCCCACTTGTTCTTAAACACATGACAGCATCAAAAGAACCTTGTAAGTTGGCTGGACCAGTACCCAATACACCTGCAGTGTTTCATCACGAAGAATCATCGAATATGCCTGATTAACAGTAGGTACTGGTTTCAACATAAGAATTTGACTTCTTGCTTGCAGGTAAGAGTTATTTAGCCCCATAGTTTGCAGATGCACAACATACTCTTTTGAACCTTCACAAGCACACCCTGGTGCTAGAACTAAGGCTTCAAACTCTTCCCATAGCCCTTTGAGCTTAGAGTAGTAAACGGATACAGAACTTGTACCTTAACTCAAGGTTATAATTATTTCCTTATGTAGATTAAAGGTTCTTGACCCATCTACCTTGTTAAATCTTTCAAACAGATCATCCCACACTACTCTAGCATTCGAGGCATACATTATGCCTCCTAACAAGCTTTTTGATACATAATTCATGATCCAAGATAAAACTATAGCATTAACCCTTTTCCAATTACTTTATAACCCTGGGAAATCCTCTTTTCTACATGACCCATCAACCATCCCCAACTTGTTCCTACCTAGCAATGCAATTTTCATCGACCTAAACCAAACTGAGTAATTTGGAATTCCAATCAACTGCAATGATATGATTTGTACTCCACTTACATCAGACGCGTGTAGAAACAAGGGATGGTTGTGATCTATTCCAATTGCAGCAATTGCAGCAATTGCAGCCACTACTGGCGCCAGTGGGCTGTGCCTGTGAATCTGCAGAATTTTGTGCCATTCTTGAACTAATTCTTGACCAGTTGTTGATCTGTAATCACCTCTGTTGAATAATCACAGAATCTTACGAATCAAGCAATGAATTACTTGCTTGAAAGCTCTGATACCATGTAGTTTTATGAATCTTAGATTGAGAGAGAAGAAGGAGACGAATGAGAGTAAGAAGAAGAAACAGAGATGAGGAAGAAGATGAAGTAATCTTTACCAAGAAGATTAAATCTGTTAGAGTTTACACCCACTTTCTTTTTTCTTATCATTACTTCATTGAACTTTCATTATGTACATGTATATGTATATATATATATATATATATATAACAACTTGTAACTAACTAGAGAATCATAACTAACTTAACTAACAGTTAGTTACTATTCCTAACTAACTTACACCTTTGCTTATCTTTTAATTCACTCATATTAACACCTACGAATTTAGTTTGGGAAATTAAAAATTTTGAACATTTTTAATTTTGAAATTTACGTGGGAGTTTTGTTCTACGAATTTAGATAGGAATTTATTAAATGAGACTTTACCCAAAATTTAATTAATGTGGTTAAAATTGGTGAAACAAATTTTACCAGTTATCATATACTATTAAGAATTTTAATGTGTTATTGAAGGCATAATAATAAATGTCTCAATATCAATTTCTTTTTTTTAAACATCTAATTCTCATAATTATATTCTCATGTTTTTCTTGAAAGAAAAAACACATTATTTGAATTTTTTATTATTCATTTAAGAACTATAAATAATTTTAGTCACCGACTAATTTAAATAAAACTCAATTATAATTTTCGAATATGGCTTACTACATATTTCTTAATATTTCAGTGTTTTAGACGAAGAAAAGTTCATATGACTTGTAATAACGCCAATTGAAGTTTGTATTAGTTTAATCTTTATTGTTTATTTAATAGCTAATTTTATGAGATAAATATTTTCATTAATGCAATATATATATATTGGTAGGTATTTATATTTAATTAAAGTATTATATATGTCACAAATGTATTATCAAGTTAACGAGATCTTCTAACTTGAAAATATATTATTTTAAAATGTTCCGAGTTCAATTTAAAAAAACTACACAACAAATGTGAAAATATGTGAATATATAAAATGTATTTGTTCTCTTCACATGTTCATATGACGTCTAAACAATTTAACGTAGAATACATATGCAAAGCACATCTGGTTAGATGACAAGAAAATACAAAACAAATATTGTCTATACGGTAATATTAGTGAGATAAGATTAATTACATGATTGAACCTAATTAAATTGAAATAAATATATACATAATTGCATTTAACTAATAAAAATTTTCATTGACCATCTTCATAGATTTGCGTGAATAAGAGATATATATGACGATCCACATTGAACATTCACAAAACAATCTGCAATATTATTTTTTGCTAAGCTTATTATTCAAATCTTCGCTTAAATAAACAAACACTATTTACCATAACATATATTTTTGAAATTGGTACCAAAACTCTAACAAGATTCATAATTCTAAATGAGAAAATCATCTAACGAACTAGTCTAAGTCCGAATATGATGGACTAGACAAAAAAGAGAATTCAAAGCAGTCTGGAAGAACTGGCTCACCCTTGAATTCGAATCGGAAATCACTGATCTTCTAAACGAGGTTTGTCAATAGGCGCCGGAAGATGCCCTGTACTCAACAAAAATAAGAGCAAGTGCAGTATCAGTACACAACCACCGTGTACTGGTAGGATCACGCGGCTATCCCACTAAGTGTAACATACATTAGTCAATACAACAATATAATCACATGCACATATCGAACATATACAATATCATCAACATATACGAACAATGAACAACTTCACGATTCTCACACATCACAACTATATCAATTTAGAGAAACATACCGTCTTCCAATATCAATCATCATTAGATATGAATGAACTCATCACAAGTATATATACAACACAATTCAATGGTCCTCTTACGGAACCTAATTCAATGGTCCTCTCACGGAACCCAATTCAATGATCCTCTCATGGAACCCAAACCCAAACAGTTAGCATACCGGTTCGTGGTATCTGATTCAAGTTAGTGTGCCAGAATGTGGCAGCCGATCCCATGTTTATACCGGAACGTGGCAACCGATCCCATATTTATGCTAAAACGTGGAAATCGATCCCATATTTATGTCGAAATGTGGCAACTGATCCCAATTAGTGTGTCAGATCGTGACACCCGCCCATTCAACAAACGACAATCACAATCATAATCACAATGTATATTCTCACAATCATACAACAAGAGGTGATTCATGGCATACAATTATTCAATTATCCTCATTTACGATTAGGATGATCAATAATGCAACATTCGCATACATACATGCATTATAATGAAGCAATTACAAACATATATCACACCAACATGAAATCACAACCATCACCTACCTCGAATCCAAGCTTGAATCCCCTAAGGCACTTGAATCTTCCTTTTCGGATTCTTCTCGCTTGTTCGTGGTCTAAAACCAATCATAATAACACGGAAATCAACAAACAATCACTAATTACCCGAAACTATAACAATTTAATGAACCCTAGATCAAACTCATGATCCCAATTATCCAAATTAAATCAGGGTTGTTTCCACCATAGAATCTATAACAAAATCCTCCCCCATCAATATTGACCCATTCTATTACATTCTACAGATTGAAAACGGATTCGGGGAGTGAAAAGCTTACCTTTAGCCTAAAAAATGGTGAAAAATGAGTAGGAGTCGCCTGGGGTTCGTTCCTTAGCTCTAAAAATCGAAAATTGTCAAATATGGTCATTTAGGAGTTTATTAATGACTTTAAGTTGCGTCTAGCCCGCCACGGCGGACTCATCCCGCTACAGCGGCCCCGCTTCGGTGGCTCCAATCACGCTTTGGCGGCCTACACAAAGACAGAATGTTACCCGTTCACGCTAAGATCATTTTCGAGAGTTCTACTCGCCCAAATTTGATTCCGTAAAGTCGTACGGGTTCCTTAACATCTTAGCTATCTACTCATGTGGTCCAAATCATAATTAGATCTCTCATTAATTACCAGATTTCCCTACACCTTAATGACTCTGATTTCATCCAAAACTGGACTAGGTTTGGAAATTTCAAGTTACTACGAAAAAGTTTTTTGGCCCCAATTCTTTCTTCATTGGCTTTTTCCTAACAATGGAATCAGGTCATTACATATCATAATCGAAAGTTTGAGATATGTGACTGATTGCACTAGGCCTGATATTGCATATGCAGTAGGAGTACTTGGCAGGTTAACAAGCAAGCCAGGTAATGAACATTCACATGCTATAACAAGAGTTATGAGATATTTAATTGGAACAAAAAATTATGGTTTGTTTTATAAAAGTATATCCTGCTGTACATGAAGGCTTTTGTGATGCAGATTGGAACACTTTATCAGGTGATTTCTGTTCTACCACTGTTTATGTCTTTACTTTGGGTGGTAGTGCTATATGTTGGAAATAAAAAAAGCAAACAATAATTTCTAACTCTACCATAGAGGTTGAACTAATTGCTTTAGCTTCAGCTAGTGAGGAAGCGAATTGGTTAAGAGATTTACTATTTCAAATATCTTATTTTGAAAAACCAATTCCTCATATTTTAATTCATTGTGATAGCACTGCTGCATTTGGTAGAGTTCAAAATCGTTATTACAACGGAAAATTCAGACCTATAAGGAGGAAACACAATAATGTAAGATCATATTTGACAAATGATACCATTAATGTCGATTATATCAAATCTTGTGATAATCTTGCAGATCCTCTTACTAAGGCCTTTAACAAGAGAAAGGTCTGGAGCACATCAAGGGGAATGGGATTGAAGCCTATAAATCCTTGAGTCATATATGAAGAAACCCAACCTGGGGACTAGAGATCCTATAACCAGGTTCAAAGGGAAAAACTAATCATATGATGACTTGTTGTGAATAAATGCACTATTTTATTTTATTCCCTCCCTATGATGTGAGTGCATTGTTTCCTGTAGTGATTTGTGAAGGTTGAGTTGATAAAAACTCTTAATGAATATCTGTAGCCCGTATGGGTGGAGTGTTAAACTTACAGGAACACTCTCGATAGATTTCACCTATGTGAGTGTGGAAGTAGGTCGCTTCCTATGAGAATTGGGCTTATTCTCAAGGGCACTCATGAAACCGGGATAGCACAAAGCCGTAACATGCTGGCTTTTAAAGCTCATGTCAACACCTTGATTATTATGTGTGGACAGTGATATTTTATTTCCCTTAAGCAGTCATAGTCAAGTCTGAGACCACTACGACTCTGGAGTAGAAGTTACTGTTTCACTAAGTGGAGGTTCAATGCAGAGCACACCTTCATTATGCATAATAGTCT